GTGATGGTGATGGTGATGGTGATGATGATGATGTCGATGATGTTGATGATGATGATGATTGTGATGTGATGAGGATGATGCCCCGATGATGATGATGATGATGATGATGATCATGATGATGATTATGATGATGATGATGCTGTTGACGATGTTCATGATGATGGTGATGGTGGTGATGATGATGGTGCCCCGATGATGATGATGATGTTGATGATGGTGATGTTGCTGATGATGATGATGATGGTGCCCCGATGATGATGATGTTGTTGATGATGATGACATGATGATGATAATGATGACGATGATGATGCTGTTGATGATGATGGTGATGATGATGGTGTCCCGGTGGTGATGATGATGTTGATGCTGATGATGATGATGATGACGATGATGGTGTCCCGATGATGATGACGCTGATGATGAGGAGAGGTGATGATGATGATTTTGATGATGGTGGCCCGATGATGGGGGTGAAGATGCTGATGTTGATGTTGATGATGATGATGGTGTCCCGATGATGATGATGGTGATGATGATGATGGTTACGATGATGATGGTGTCCCGATGATGATGTTGATAAGGATGTTGCTGATGATGATGAAGGTTTCCCGATGATGATGATGATGATGTTGATGATGTTGTTCATGATGATGATGAGATGATAATGATGGTGGTGGTGTTCCGATGATGATGATGGTGTCCCGATGATGATTGTGTTGATGATGATGGTGACGATGATGGTGTCCCGATGATGATGATGGTGATGATGATGGTGATGATGATGTTGATGATGATGGTGATGAGGTGATGATGATGTTGTTGATGATGATTACGCTGTTGACATTGATGACGATGATGTTGATGGTGATGATGATGGCGTTGATTGTGAGATCGATTGTGATATAGATAGTGAGATCGGTAGTGAGACCGGATGTGAGATCGATTGAGAGATCGGTAGTGAGATCGATAGTGAGATCGATTGTGAGATCGATAGTCATAATGATTGTGAGATCGATCGAATGAAATAGATCGAGTGAGACCGATAGTGCGACCGATCGAATGAGACGTTTTTTCCTCCCCCCCCCCCGAACATTCTTATCACCCGAAGGGTGGTCGTATAGGTATATATACATAATAAAAAAAGAGCGGTGCTGTCCCGTAATGGCTTGGGCCCATGTTGGGGCGCGTATTGGCTCTGTTGGGCTGTCTTGGGGTCATGATCGGGCTCCTGGCCTGTTTTGGGCTTGTCGTGGGGGCCTTTTCGGGCGTTTTCGAAAATATGTGGGCTCCTTGCGGGATGTTTTCGGACTCTTGGAAACCCTGTGGGGTTCCTGAGGACCTCTTGGGGGCCTCTGTCAGAAGTGTCTGGGGGCCCTCCTGGGCCGGTTCGGGGCCCTCTTGGAAGTCTGTCAGGCCGTCTTAGGGCGATCTTGGGGGCCTCGCGGGCCGTCTTGGAGCGTCGGGAAGCCGAAAAGAGGCGAACCCCAAAATTAACAAAAACCACTAGAAAATCAATTAATGTTGCCTCTTGGGGCTTTCTTGGGAGTGCTCTTGGAGGCAGGCCTCTTGGGACGTTTTGGAGCGATCTTTGGGGGTAAATGACGGCTGCTTCGGGGTCGTCGTGCACCGTCTTGGGGCTGCCTGGGGACTTTTCGGAAACGCGCCGGAACGCCTGGAGCCCTCTGGGGCCGTCTTCGGGCTCGTGGGGTTCTCCCGGGTCGTCTGGAGGGGTGCCCGAGAAGCCTGTGGTGGGCCAAATTCGTTAGGTGGGCGGGGGCTTTTCCAGGGTCCCTGGCCCCATGGAAATATATGAATCGGAATGTAGACGTGTATATATATATATATGTATATATACACACACCTTTACCTATAGCATGCCTGGATTCATGTACATATGTATGCGTACATGTATGTATGCATACATATGCATGCGCGTATGTATGTATGTATGTATGTAAGTATGCATGTTTGTGCACACGTATGTACGTGTGAATGTTTATACGTATGAATATATGTATGTGCGTCTGCATTCATGTGTTCATGTACGTATGTATTGATGTATGTCTCCCTGCAGCCATGCATGTGTGTATGTATGTCTATGTGCGTGCATGTATGGATGCATGCATGCAGGACGATATATATGTATATATACACATGTATGTATACATATATGAATAGATTGATGCATGTATGTATATATGTATGCATGCCTACATATGTGTATACATGTATGTATGTGTGTAGGTATGGATGTATGTATGGACGTATGGACGCATGCATGTGTGTCTGCATGCATGCATGCATGCATGCGTGCATGTATGCATGCATGTACAGGTGCATAACAAGTGTATGTATGTGTGTATGTATGTATGTATGTATGTATGTATGTATTTGTATATTTGTCTGTCTGTATGTCTGTATGTGCTTATGTATGTATGTATGTATGTATGTATGTATGTATGTATATATGTATGTATGTACATATGGACGTATGCTTGCGTGTAAGTATGTATGTATGCACGTACGTGTATGTGCGTATGTAAGTGCACGTGTACGTGTATAGATACGTGCATGCGTCATGTGCGTGTGGTTGTGTAGGTGTAGGTGTAGGTGTAGATGTATGTGTACGTGTGTATGTGTATGTGTAGGTTTGTGTGTGTAGTTGATGTCTACGTACATGTTTATGCCTATGTATACGTAGATGCATGTAGGTATCATTCACCGTGCCCTGAGGCATGATTTGGGGTGTCCTCAAGTACCTTGGAAGTCCCTGTCCTCAATCCTGGGTGGCTGACTCTTACGTGACCCGTGTCCAAAACTGACGTTTTCCCTGGGGCTTCCCGGATCTCGGGGCTTGTCGCGTGTTCCCGCTTGACATGTTCGGGGCCACACAGGCCCCAACTCTAGCCAAGACAGACCCAAGAGGCCCCCACCACGGTCCAAGAAGGCCCCGAGTCGCCCAACGATCGCTCCAAGACGCCCAAGGTGGCCTCCAGACGGCCAGAACGGCCCCTACGACGCCCAACGAGGGCTCTCCTCCAAAAGGGACGGGGGAGGCCAAACTTAGTGATCCACCAAAAATGTTTGACTGATTTTAACTTTCTCACCTTTACGAGCTTCCGACGCTCCAAGCCAACCCAAGGAGCCTCCACGTTCGCTCCAATACGGCCGTCGCCAAGAGGGCCCCAGACGGCCTCAATACGGCCCAAGAGGCCTCGAACACTGCCAACGAGGGCCCCAACAGGAGAGACGCCCCGAAGGGGGACCACGAACCAACATTTCGAACCCTCCGCCCTCGGACGACCTCTCAGACCGCCAGCAGACCACGAGAAGTCACCCAGAAGCTCGAAGGGTCCCCAAGAAACACAAAATCAGGCCCCGCCCCCGAGAGGCCCCCAAACCGCTTTATGTCGAGAAACCTCCCACGATATCCCCACAGGCATCCAAGCAGCCTCTGACCTCGACCCGGGCACGGTGGCGGGACCGTGCGTGGGCTGGAATAAATTCTCCACGTCGGCGCTGTTCGGGGCGGCGAGAGCGGAACACACGAGAGTTTAGGGCCCCTTTGCCCCCCCCCCCCCCAGATCTGTCCCAGATCGATGCGCTCCCCCCGAACGCCGAGCACCGCACCAGCGATGCCCCAAATCGATCGGAACTTCGGCCCGCGCAGACACAGATGCGTACGTGCACATATGTGTGTATACAGTGTTCGCTCACGTCTCTATAATGTTTACCTACGTGTCTACACACATATGCCATGTATACAGATATACGCATAGTTCCATGCATTTATCTAGGTTTACATACACCTGCATGTAGTGTAACAGATGTGCATGCGCAGGTGTGCATGTATACAGTAGAGCTTGACCGCAACAGATGGCCCCCATATGAAGGCTGGCGCACGGGACGACGGGCCAGCGGCGCGAGGAGACGCTCCACAGCATGCCAAGCTAGCCCTCCGATCCAACTCCGCCCTGCACGTGACTGGAAGCTGGTGCCCCTGGCAGAGCCGTGTTCCTCACGAGCCGTGGCGAGTGGGCCTCTGCAGCAGCACCAGGTGGGCCACGTCTTGGACCAAGGAGACGCCCTCTGCGTTGGAACTGTCCTGGAATTGAAGAAATTGAGGAGCCCCCTCCTGAAATCCAAGAAAGGAATTGTCCTGGAATTGTCCTGAAATTGAAGAAATTGTCCTCACGTGTTTGTTCGCTGTTCCTGAGATTGTCCCTGCCCTTCCTCGTCGCTCGTTGGAAGTTCGCCAATCAACTGGCCAGGATCGACCGTGGCCGTGCGTCCGCAACCCCTGCAGCAAGACAGAGAGAGAGAGGGGAATACAGAGACGCGGCCACTGCTGCATCTGGTGCGAAGCATGCAGGACTTCCCCCCAAAGTCAGCCGCCTCGCCGCCCGAAAGAGATCCTCGTCAACTGGCGCAACTTCCCTGTGGGCTGCATCATGGGATGGCGCAGGCAGAGTGGCAGGCTTCTCAGAAGTGCCCTGCTTATTGGGAATGCGAGAGCACAGCGCCGAGCTGACTTGCCTGCCTGGCTCAACTATTCACATGGGCTGCTGGATCGAATGACTTCCTGCGTACTCCATGCTGTGGAGATACACTACACAATCTCAATATTGAACATGGCAAAGCCATTTATATCGTGCCTGAGCCACAACGGAATTACCCCCTCCGCCAAAGGGCATACAATCCTAGCAACCCTGGCCGACGCTGAAACTCCGCATCCGCAGGGTCCGCATGCGTCCACACGCCTATCTCGGCACACCCCTCTCACGACTTGTGCTCCATGAGTAAGCTTTACCGAAAGCCCCAGTGGCAGGATCCGCATGGATATGACCATTTCGGAACACCCCTCACACGCGTCGTGGCCCGATAGAAAGGAAAGCTCCCCCTCCTTCGCCCCACCTGTTTTTGTTGTTCTCTCTGTCCCTCTGTCTCTCTCTCTCTCTCTCTGTCTCTCTCTCTCTCTCTGCCGAAAAAGAAAACGTCGCCTCGATCTGCGGCACGCCGCGGGGGGCGGGCGGGACCCCGTCAAGCCGGAACGTTCCAAGGATCTTGTTGTCCTTCGCGAACTGGCGCTCGCCCTGCAGCACGACGATCTCCACGGACGGCTGCGAGTCCACGGCGGTGGAGAAGACCTGAGGAGGGGGGGCGGTGCAGCTGGGGGCGACCCCCCTCTTGTTGTTGTTGCTGCTGCTGCTGCTGCTGATGTTGCTGCTGTTGTTCCCCATGTTCTCATAATGAAATTCTGGTTATGACTATGACCCCGCCGCGTCTTTCCTCACCCCGCCTCCTCCTCATCCTCCGTCTTCTCCTCGTCCCCACTCAGAACTACTCATAGCCAGGGACACTAGCCAGGTTATCTTATGATGACGATGACAACTCAAGAATCTGACGATGATGATGATGATGATGGTGATGATGACGATGAGGATGAGGATGAGGATGAGGATGAGGATGTGGATGATGATGATGATGATAATGATGATGATGATGATGATGATGATGATGATGCTGCTGATGATGATGATGATGATGATGATGATGATGATGATGCGATGTCCTTTCCCCATTCAGACTCATACGCTCGACAATGATGGCGACGATGCTGGTGATGATACAGGTGAGGCTTCAGATGATGAGACCAGTGATGATTAGCAGGATGATCGTATTGATGACGGTGGCAGCAATGAAGACGATGACGATGATGACCACCCCGCCCCGGTCTCACCCTGCCCGGCCAGCTCCTCGAGCTGCGCCCAGCCGTGGCCACCAGGCGCTCCCGCTGGGCCCACCCCAGGAGGCCAAAAGTGCAGACCCAGACCCCCGACGTCGTGACTTTTTCGCAACGTCGACCCCTTGAGGTCTGGACCCCTTCCATGGGACAGGTTTTTCATCCCGACTCGTTGTTGACGGTCCAGGGGCCCGGGAAAGGCGCCCGGAGGACGAAAATAGCGAAACACCTCCCGTCGTGAATTTAGCGCAACGCGAGGGGGTCTGGGAATGCTCCATCCCCGGTCGTGGTGGTGGCGGTAGGCACTCCTCCCCTGCCAGCGACCTCGGTCTTCTTGGTGGGGATGGCCCCGTGGTCGCCGATGGCCACTCCGAGGGCCAGCGGGGCTCAGGCGCCAGTCAGGCAGAACCGCCCCCCGAGGCCAACAGGCAGTCACTACTGCGTCACGCTAGCTGGGCGACACAAAAACGATAGGGTCTCACGCACGAGAACACGGCGACTGTGCGCGGCGGAGGCCGCAAGCTTGGGGCACCCGCCTGGACAAGGGGGCCCCCGTGCGCGAGCCTGCGCCGGCAGTTTACGACCCCGATTCTTACCACGCCGCCTGGCCGACGCCCCTGGAGGGTCCGCCTGGCTGCCCCTGGGCCCCCCCCCAGCGCCAGGGGCGTGTCGGGTGTTCGCAGAACCTTTGGCCCCGACCCTCCATCCCCAAACCTTGGTCCTCGCGGCCCTGGCTGGCAAGGCTTCGGGCTGCGCGCACGCAGTCCCCCCAGGCAGTCCCAACTGGCCTCAGCAGGCCCCCCGAGTAGTCCGGGGCGGTCTCAACACCCCAACCATGGGGCGCGGAGCGCCCCAGGGGCGCCGCCGGAGGCGGCGCCAGGGTGTTGACACCGCTCCAGACTACTCGGGGGGGCCAGTTGAGGCTGGCTGGAGCTGCTCGGTTGGTCTTGTCGAGGAGGAGGAGGAGGAGGAGGAGGAGGAGGAGGAGGAGGAGGAGGAGGAGGAGGAGGAGGAGGAGGAGGAGGAGGAGGAGGAGGGAGGGGGGAGGGGAGGGAGGGAGGAGGGAGGGAGGGAGGGAGGGAGGGAGGGAGGGAGGAGGAGGAGGAGGGGACATCACCAGCACTGGCCCAGGGTGCCCCCCCCCGAACTCCAGGGCCACCGCGGAGCTTCGGGCGCCCCCATCTGGCCCCGCCTGGGGGCACCTCGGGGCCGCCGGGGCATCCACAGGCAGCCCAGGACTCACCCTCTCAGAGGCCTCCGACGTCGCTCCGGCGTCAACACCAGGGCCAGTCAGCATCGAACGGGTACGCAAGTGTGCGTCGAATCCGGCCACGTCGGCGCGAGGTCGGAATCTGATCGAATCGGCCGCGCCAGGGTGTGCACAACAGCGCCGTGCAGACACCTGGCCGCATCGGATCGCTGGACTACCGTAAGTCGGGCCTGTCCCTCTACAGGGGGGTAAAACTCAAAAATCGTAGAACAATTGTCTGGGGACGATTTGTGGCCTGTTTTTGTTGAATCTTTAGGGGGTACTGTTTCCTTTCCGTCCAAGGACTACCGGAATCGGACCGGATCGGGCTGGCCAGAATCGGTGCCGAATCGGATCGATGGGATCGCAATGGATACTGCGGCGCGCGGCCCTCGGAGCTCTCGGCCTCTTCCCCGGGACCCGCGCCTCCTCACGGCGGCGATCGAGAGGGGGAAGCGAGGAGGAAGAGGCCTTCTCGGAAGGCGGCGGGGTTCGGGCCTTCTGACAAAAAGTGATCCGTGTCTTCGCGGAAAGCTCAGGGCATTTCTCAGAAAGCCAGGGGGCTCCGGAGCTTTCTGCAGAGGCCCGCCCCTTTCCACTTCCCCCTGGAACTACCGCCGATCATCCTGAGCCGTCTTCCGACGGCCCCGGGTCTCAGAAAAAGGCCGCAGCCGCTAGAGGTCCGAAGCTTCGGAGGTCCCCAGAAGCCCCACAGACGCCCGAAGAGGGCCGACATACATAAAAAACTTTGATCCCCGATCCCAGCACAGCGGCCCCACAACGCCACGGCACTTCGACACCACGACACCTCCACGCCACGCCACCACCCTGAGATCAGACGTTGCGAAGAATTGCAACAGCGCGACGAATCACGACTGGAGCCCTGGGTCCCATCTGTCAGCTGCATTTCTCGAGCTGGATCGATCGTCCCGAGGCGTGGCGGAAACGCCCTGTGAAAAAAATGCAACGCCCGGATCTGAGGGGAAGAGGAGGGAGAATGAGGGAGGAGGGAGAAGAAAGGAGGGAGGATGGAGCAGGGGGAAGAGGAACGAGGACGAGGGGAAGGAGGATGGAGGAGGAGGAGGAGGAGGAGGAGACTCTGGAGACTCTGCCTGATCGCGTAGCGATATGAATACTCCGATCCGCCCGCACCTACTGCGGTGCTGTGATCCGCTCGAAGATACTCGCGCCCAGTGGCGGTAGGTGTATCGCATGTGACGGCCCACGACGCAATACCACATTTCCAGCCCATCGTTAACCTCATTTAATTGACTAATTGAGCCCAAGCACCTTCACCATGGACCTGCTTACCCGGGGGGATTCATATAAGTGCCATCTACATGTACAATGTCATAACGTTCACTACGGTACCATTCGGCACGTTTCGCCACAGTTGAGGAGTCTGTACAAACCAGACATGGAGGCAACAACAGCACACATAAACATAGGGCGGGGGCTCGGACGGGCCTCTTGACGGCCCATCGGGGCCTGGCTCCCAACCTACCAGCTTGAATCTCAAATTGGCGTTCGAACTCAGAGGCTTCAATGGTGGGCCTGACGAGCCTCATCGTAACTAGAAGAACACTGTGCTCGACAACCTGAATGGATTGTATCACGGCCTCGCTCACTCTGTGTTCGGTTGCCACGAGAGCGGCCGATTCATCTGCAACTGTGCTTCCGCACACGGAAACAAGGACAAGAGCAAAGTTGCACAATATCATGTTCAGTTTGATGCGATCTGGTCCACAAGACGGCAAGCTGATCTCCACGGTAACCCACGCGCCGGCCGATCTCGTGCCAAAGGTCAGCATCGGGCCCCTCGGGCCGTCTGGGGGTGCCCGTTGCAGAAATTCAAATCGATGCCTTCGCAGCCAGCAACACGGATGGTATCTCCCACGGAGACCGCCAACGCCAACACGAGGGCAGCCAGCTCTCGCCTCGTACCACAGTTCGGCGCTCGCCATGGGGGGCCCCCCAGGTGGCGCCTTGCAACTCCATCTCCGGAAGGTCGCGAAAACTCGCGAAGCAGTTGGCGGTAGGACCTGTTGTCAATGCCCCTCGCCATGCCTAAGCCGACATCGTGCTCACTGGCATGCTTCCGGTACCTGTCCATGACGGTCTGGTCGAAGCCCTTGAGCAGCGCATCTGGTATATCGGCGGTAGCGTTCCCCGTGGGGTCGCTGGGCTCGAACTGCCAGGTGATCTGGCCGGTGTTGATCGAGGCAGCTGGTTGCTCCCATCTGTTGACCTGATGAGGTTGCCAGTTCTGCCCCACCAAAAGCAAGATAACGGCAGACTGTGGCCTCGGACGTGACGTACCCGTTGTGCTGGTGGAAGCTGGCGGAAATGGTCTACGACCTCGGCCACCATCGACCGCATGGTCTTCTGCACGCAGCATGCCCCCCGCCTGGATCCGGGTGGCGAGCCACTGCTGGATGGCCTCCCGTGGGAAGCGTCGGCCTGGGTCCTGGCCGTGCGCCCGGAGGCCCGGCAGCGCGGCGAGGCATCTCCCCTGGAGCCGAGGCCCGAGGGCGCCGCCAAGGCGGCGGGCGGAGGGCCACCAGAGGATCCGGTGGCGAGGCGCCCCGCGACCTCGGAAGCGGCGCCGCGCGGCCCGGGCGAGCCGCGCGCTCCTGCGGCGCACGAGGCCGTGGCGAGGAGCCTCCGCCGGCCGCGGGCTGGCCCGAGCTGCGGCGGACGCCGGCGCCGAGGTCGGCCCCCGAGCAGCTGGCCTGGGCCTCGGCAAGGGCCTGGGCTCCCTTAGGAAGGCACCAACTATACACCAACACCGATCCTGGCCAGGATCACCCTGGGCCCAGGATCGGTGTATACGCCCTCCTGCCCTGCGCAAGAAGGCATATACACCGATCCTGGGCCCAGGGCGATCCTGGGCCAGGATCGGTGTTGGTGTATACTTGGTGCCCTCCGATCCCTGGCGCTCCAGGCCGCGCGTGATGTGGCGGGCGGCGCCCGTGCGAGAGGCGGGAGCACACATGATGGCGCTCTTCTCTTAATTAGCTATGTTGAGGGTCTCGGCGCGGAGCTCTACAGAGGGCAGAACAAAAAAAACACCCCGAGGATAGCCACGGTGACACGCGAAGCCGTTTAGCAAACGTGCCCAAAGAAGGAATCAACCAGGGCAGGGCTGTTTAGTAGCGTCTAGTAAACGCCAATTGTCCGGTCTGGGTGGTTTTTCCTCCCTTGACTCTGGGCAGGTGTCGAGAAGGCACCGCAGGGGGAGCTGCCGCACCGCTCGGAGCGACCCTCGTGCACGCTGGGACGGATCGTGGACACAGAGAGCGGCGGTGGCCCTGCGGGTGAGCGACGGTGACCCTGCGGACGGCACGGAGGGTCATGCACTTCGCGAAGCTGGTTCCCGAGCGACGCCCCTGGACCACCGCGCGTGTGGGCTGGAACGGCAGGGTGGAGCTGCCGCTCTGGGCGATCGAGCGTGGGGCGGTGCCAGTGCAGGAGCTGTAGCCTTTTTAAGTCGGGCATGTCCCCCATACAGGAGGAGCTTGCACGACAAACAAAGCATGCCCTAGAAACAGTTCTCCAAAATGGCCACACGCAGTCGAAACATCCTCCCCACACGATTTTTTGACAATGGAGTATTCCTCCCGTAGAGGGACAGGCCCGAATGAACCTTGGCCCCGAGACCTCGGCGGGGAGGTCCAGGTCCAGCGCCGCGCTGCCCAGGTCGACCCACGGGGTCGGATCGTAGCAGAGCCGAGTCCAGCAGGCCGTGGCCCTGCGGGGCACGAGCCTACCCCGCGAGCTGCTCCCGCAGGGCCCTGCTGCAGACCTCCTGAAGCGCAGAGTTGGAGGAGGAGGAGGAGGAGGAGGAGGAGGAGGAGGAGGAGGAGGAGGAGGAGGAGGAGGAGGAGGGAGGAGGAGGCGGAGGAGTCAGAGGAGGAGGAGGAGGAGGAGGAGGAGGAGGAGGAGGAGGAGGGGAGGAGGGAGGAGGAGGAGGAGGAGGAGGAGGAGGAGGAGGGAGGAAGCGGAGGGGAGGAGGAGGGCTCGACGCCACGATGCCGCGCCACACGGCGCCGCAACACCACGATGCCGCGATCCCGTGAAGGGGGGCCAGGGCCGCTTCTGCGAACGCCCCGGCCAGCCCTGCAGGGCGGCCAAGCGGCCACGGGGGTATGGTCGTGTTCCGGGAGATGAGGACGGTGGCCACCCCGCCAAGGGTCTCGACGCCGAGGGACAGCGGGGTCACGTCCAGCAGCACGATGTCCTTCACCTCGCCCGCCAGCACCCCTGCCTGCACCTCTGCAGGGGGGGGGGCATCTCCGACGCGAGGGCTCGGTGGGCAGGGACGAGCGCTCGACACGCCAGCAGCGTTCGGGGGGAAGGGGCGACGTAAGCAGGGACTGCGTGGGCTTCTGGCCTCTCTGGGGCCCCAGATCTGGGCCAAACCCGAGCGTTGGCCCACCCCCCTTCACAGGCAAGGAAGCGCCGAGGAGGAAAGGATGTTACAGACATTGGTGACGGTGGTGAGGTGGAGGACGACGGCGTCACAACATCTACTTTCACGCGCTTCCTCATGTGTGGTCCGTCGCATCCGGCGTTGTGTCTTCTCGATGCTGGGTCCCCTGGGATCTCGGGCATGCTGTTTTCATAGTTCACCCTCCTTGACAGCCCCAAACCCAGAAACTGACCCCAGAAACCAACCCTTGCAAACCAAACTGTCTTACCTTTTCACAACGCTGGGGGTCTGGGCGCAGCAGACGAGCTGCACGTGAAGGCGCGCCACCTGCACCATTGAAGACGATACTGTCTCGGAAACTTATCTTAATGTTATGTCGGGCGTGTCCCCCTACAGGGGGATTTTCGACGAAAAATTAAAAATACCTCCCCCCGCCAAAAAAAACGAAAGGTAAAAACATACTCCAAAAATAGTCCCCTGACTATTTTTGGACTATGTTTTGACTATGTTTGGGGCATTTTTTTATTATTCGTCGAAAATCCCCCTGTAGGGGGACAGGCCCGACTTAAACTCAATGCTAAGCGGAGCCAGATCTCGCGAGGCTGGCGGCACAGTCGTCCAAGCATCCGGTTGGACATGTCCACCCCTGCTCTTCCTCGGCATCGTCCTTCTCATCCTGCTCCCTTCCCCCTGAACATCGGACAGTTCGCCAAGTCCTTCCCATCGTCCTTCTCATCGTCCAGTTGGACATGTCCACCCCTGCTCTTCCTTCCTCTCCCGCTCCCTCCTCCTGCTCCTTCCTCCTAGTCCTCCTCCCCCTTCCATCCCTCTGGCACATCTCGTGAGCTCTTCCTCGTTGTGGCACCACCGGGCGTGTCGGCAGGGCGCGCTAGTGAGGTGAGGCTTCGCCTAACAGCATGACATTTTTCATATAAAGTATACGACCTTGAAACTGAGTCGTTCCACCATCTATGCGGACGGAAGGCGGGTTATCTTGAGTGTCCTTGGGCCCGGAGCGGCTCCACGTAATTAGCTGGGCCCCCGAATTATCCGGGATAACTCCTGTCTGGGGCAACTCTGGCTTGGGCCCCCGAGCACGAACCGGGACTTTCTCCTGACCGCCCCAAGCGCCGAAGATTCCACAAAGCCCGACAAAAGCTATCCCTTACCACCCTCAACCCTGATGATTCGGGACGCTGACAAAAGCCGAACCCTAGGAAACGCGCCGGCATCGAAAAATCATGAAGTCGGTATGAGGTTCCCAGAAGTCTCCAGCGCTCTCTGAATACCCCACGCATGGTCTCCGTCCAGAAGGCCTCGAGGCCCCCGCAGGTTCCAGGAGACCCCGTAAAGGCCGACGCGGAAAAGGAGGCGGGCGAGGAGGAGGAGGAGGAGGAGGAGGAGGAGGAGGAGGGGGAGGTGGAGGCGGTGGAGGAGGAGGAGGAGGAGGAGGAGGAGGAGGAGGAAGAAGGAGGAGGAGGAGAGGGAGAGGGATGTTGAGGAAACGATCGTAGAAAAGAGGGATGATATTCAAGAGGAGGGAGGAGGAGGAGGAGGAGGAGAGGACGACGAGGACGACGAGGACGAGGAGGAGGAGGAGGAGGAGGAGGAGGGGAGGAGGGAGGAGGAGGAAGGAAGAGGGAGGAGGAGAAGGACAAAAAAAAGGAGGATGTCCCAGGAGGCGGAGGACGGAGCGAGGTGGAGGAGCCCTTCCAAGGAAGCGGGCGAACGAGTAGGCCCACCTTCCCCCCCTCGCCGAGGGAGCGCGGGCGGGCTCCCCGGTCGAAGCCGGGAGCCGCCCGGGGGAGAGACGCGGGCCGCGCAGGAGGTCCAGCTCGAGAGGGCTGGGGTCCACCCCCCCTCCTCCTCCTCCTCCTCCTCCTCCTCCTCCTCCTCCTCCTCCTCCTCCTCCTCCTCCTCCTCCTCCTCCTCCTCCTCCTCCTCCTCCTCCTCCTCCTCCTCCTCCGCCCTCACACCCCGCCTCCGCAGCCGCGCTTGCCGCCCGCGGGCGAGGGAGCCTGCAGTCAACGCGTATAACCAAGGAGGCGCGACAAGGATGCAAAAGGGGCCCTCGGGCGCCCCTTCCGAGGCTTCTCGCGCGGGGCGCGGCCGACGAGAGCGGCCAGGGATGGGCCGAGGAGGCAGGGACGCAGAGGGCACCCTGGGGAAGGTTGCCCATCCTTACTGTGCGGGTTCACTGCAGCGTCGCTCGGTCACTCGCTCGCCCCCCCTTCGGTCCCCTCTCGCGCCGGCCCCTTCTCGTCCCGCTCGGCGGGCCCACCAGCGGCCGCCAGCGGCCCACGCTCATACCCCCCCAAAAGTCAAACGTTTGTGGGCTGGGGGGTCGAGGGCATCGGCGCCTCGACGGGAACTCGTCCGCATCACCGAGCCTCCGAGAAGGGAGGGGGGAGGATCCCGAAATGTGACGTTGCACAAAGAGCTTGCAAAGATCCCATCTTTCTGCGCCAGATTGCGAGCCAGATCGATCTGTGAGGGCCCTGGGGTCCGAAGCTGGGCGAAAGCTTGTTGTGAAATACAAGCAACTTACACGCAATCTTTCTGCGCCATTTTTCGAGACGGATCGATCTGTGAGGGTCCTGGGGCCCGAAGCTGGGCAAAAACGCCTGCAGTCAGCAAAATGCAGCGCCTAGGTCCCAGGGGATGGGGAATGAGGACACCCCAAACCTCCGTGGCACCCTCGCCGCCTCCCTAGCCGGGACCGAATGGGACGCCCCACCCTTGGAGGAGGAGGAGGAGGAGGAGGAGTAGGAGGAGGAAGAGGAGGACCAATGTAAACCCAAGACGCATCAACGATGCTGTTCCCTCTTCAGAAGTCCCTACAATAATCTGCGATCATTGCACGAAATGGCCCGTTAGAATACAAACGTCTGATGATCCCCAACCGTGCTAAATCCGCCGGCCCCAAACTGTAGGACCAAGGTTCCACCCTCGTAAATTACACCGTGTTCGCGTCCGCGAGGCCATAGACCCTCGCGAATTACGCAAGATTCGCGTCTCCGAAGATAAACCCTCGCAACATACGCCATGTTCGTGTCCCCGAAGCCACACACCCTAGTAAATTATGCAAGTTTCGCGTCTCCGAGACAGCAAACGCTTCTAAATCACGCGGTATTCGCGTCCCCGAAGCCATACATTACGCGATACTCGCGTCTCCGAAGCCATAAACCTGCGTAGATGACGCAATATTTGCGACCCCGAAGCCATACACCCTCGTAAATTATATAAAAATCGCGTGTCCGAAACCATACACCCTCGTAAATCACGCGATGTTCGCGCCCCCGCAGCCATACACCAGCGTAATTTACGCTATATCTGCGAGCCCGAAACCATACACCCTCGTAAGTTACGCGCGATTCGCGTATCCGAACCATACACCCTCGAAATACAACATCGAATTCAACAATATCATCCAATCTCAAAATGTCTTGCCGGTTACTCACTGGGTTCGCGTGAAATCCCGACGCTGCTTCACGGCGGCGCCAAGGCCTCATGATTTCGCTCTTGCATTGTCCATTATCTGAACGAGGGGGCCAACGGCATGGGGCGAAGCCTTTACGGATTACATTTCTGGGATTCCAACGCCACGAATCAACGCGCCTGTTGCGTCCTGACAACCCTAATTCGTGCCAGAACAGAACCCGTGTCATATCAACACCACAAATGGAAAATGACTGTTGCGTCCCGAAACAACCTTCCTGGGACTTCAACCGTAGATACCCGTGAAACCTGCTGCGGTAACTTCAAGCAAATGTTCGTGGCACCAACGCGATAACCACATGTTGAAAAGACGCCGCCCTCCTTCAGTGAATCTTCTGCGAACTTTTGAAAAGAATGTGCGCGGCGCTAGAGCGAAAACCACAAGTTAAAAGCGGCCCGCCGTCCATCTTTGCATCCCTGAAACTGTCGCAGACGTTACAACATTTTCGCGCGGCGCTACGCCAGCGAAGACCACAATTTGAAAACGAAACGCCCTCCATGCTTGAAGCTGTTGGAAGTTTCGCGCTTCAAGACCAAAACTGGAGAAGACGACTCAGGCAACAAATTCGGCTCGCCTGATCGACGCGTCCAGGGGTGGGCCAATAATGTTGCGAAAGAGGGGCGGGGAGGTAAAGGCGGAGCAGGAGGAGGAAGAGGAGGAGGAGGAGGAGAGGAAAGGAGGAGAAAAGGAGAGGAAAGGAGGAGGAGGAGAAGCAGGAGGAAGAGGAGGAGGACCAGTGTAAAACCACGAGTCATTAACGATGTTGGAGTAACCTTCCCTCCAAGCTCCCTGTTCATAGGTCCCAACAACGATTCATTTCCATTGATGGAACTGCCTCGTTGGAAAGCGCCCGTTTGCAGAACCTGAAGCATGGCAAAGCATTGCTTTTCGGGATTCCAACGCCACGGATCAGCCCGATTGTTGCGTATTGTCCTGAATCGCGCCAGAACGCCATTCGTAGGACTTCAACGCAGAGAACCAACGAAACTGTTGCACCCTCATAATCATGAACCATTCCAAGTCATAATGTATGGTACGTTGATGATGGGAATGTGTGAAGTTGTTTGCAATTTCCTTACACAGGCTCTGCCTAGAAGGGTTCTTACTCGGAAAACTTAAAGGGCCGGGCAGTGGGGCCCGCCCCGGACGGTTCCCCCAGTATCCGCCCGGCGGTTCCCCCAGTTACGTCCCTTTAGCTTAGCATTGCCCATTTCATCTTATATTAACTTATCTTATCTTAACTTAACCTAGGTGCATCTTCTGTGTAATACATAATTCCTCCATTCTCCATACCTGGGCCCTGCAGTGGAAATCGCCCTGGGCGGTTCCCCCAGTATCCGCCCCGCGGTTCCCCCAGTTGCGCCCCCTTCGCTTAGCGTTGCTTGTCTCATCTTAGCTTAGCTCATTTCATCCCAGCTTAGCTTCATCTTAGCTCAGGTTTATCTTAGCTTAGCTTACATTCATCTTAGCTTCGCTGAGCTTTAGCATAGCAGAGCACTGCATAGCATTAGCATGGGTGTAATTCCCTACCTAGGCTCTGCCTAGAGGGCTAGCTTAGCTTAGTTTGGCTTAGTTTTGCATAGCGCCGCGCTGCACTATCATAGCATACCATAACATAGCCAATCATAGCATAGCATAGCATAGAATAACATAGCGCAGCATATTATAGCATAGCATATCATAACGCAGCTTAGCATAGCATAACATAGTACAACATAGCGCAGCGCAGCATGCCATAGCACAGCTTATCATACCATATCATCGCATAACGCAGCATTGCATAGCATAGCATCGCATAGCGCAGCATACCATGGCATAACATAACATAGCAACTAATTCTGTTTTCCGAGGGGCTCTTACTTCTAGGTAGGGTCGCACTGGGGTAACTTGTAAAACCGAATGCGCGCGGCGCTCAAGCGCAAACCACATTTTGAAAACGACCCGGCCTCCATTCGTGAGGCTCTTGCAAATTCGTAAAACGCATGTGCACCGCGCTGAGGCGAGAACCACAATATGACAAGGAACCGCCCTCAATCCCTGAAGCCCCGGCAAAATGTTTAGGACGAATGTGCGCCGCGCCAGCGCGAGAATCACAATTTGAAAACCGCCCTCACTTAATCCGTGAACGTCTTGAAGACTTGCAGACCGAATGTGCGCCGCGCTAAGGCGAGAGTCACATTTTGAAAGCCCCCCCCCCCCCCCCTCAATCCGCAACGAATGCACGCCGCGCTAAGGCGGGGGCCGCATTTTGAGAACGACCCGCCCTCAGCCCGCGAAGCTCTCGCAAGTTGTTAAACCAGAAGTGCGCCGCGCTTTGGCGAGAGCCACTTGTTGAAAACCATCCGCCCTCCATCTGCGAAGCCGTTGCCAATTTTTTAACTTCGCCATCTTAACTGGCGAAGAAGTCTCAGGCGAAACGCCCGGCCCTCCCTAAAAACTGGCCCCAGGGCGCGACAGGGAGATGTCGTGCATGACAAAAAAAGATGGGGGAAGATGAGGAGGAGGAGGAGGAGGAGGAACAGGAGGAGCGCCACTACCTACAGAAGCGTAAACAAATTCGCACGCCGCCCCGCCTCAGGGAGGGCGCCGGCCCCATGTTCGGCGGGGCCGAGAGCCCACAAGCGGCAGGGCAGCTGCGGCCGCCACAAACCGATGCCCGATGAGGGCCCAGCGGCAAAGGCGCCCCAAAACCGCGGCCCAGGGAGCGCCCCAGAATCCCACAGGCTAACCCCCCCTCCAAAAAAAAAGCCCCTGGCCACACAAAGGCCGCCCGAGGACTGACGAAGGCACCCCGTCGGGAACCCCGACCTCGACGACGGCCATGCGGATCACCTCGGCGACTTCCTCGTCGGTGAGCTTCCTCTCCAGGTCGACCGTGCCGTTGCCGTCCGCGTCGCCCGCGTCGATGGGCGGGCCTGACCAAGCCCCGATCTCCTCGAGGATCCTCACCTTGAAGCCGTTGACCTCCAGCACGCCGCTGGTCACCAGGCCCAGCGCCTCGTGGAGGCTCGCCAGGGCCATCTCGCGGGTCGCGGCGTCCACCATCGCGGCGCCCTTGCTGGCCGTGGGGGCCTTGCTCCCCCTCTCCTCCACCGTCGACTCGGGACCCTCAGCGTCCGTCTGCAGCCCGACCACGCCGATGACCGTGTCCGTGCGCAGCCGCCTGGCCGCCTCAGCCTGCTGCTCCCGTAAGGAGCAACCCCCGTTCTCCCTGAAGAGCTCCTCCCACACCTTCTCCTGCTCGTCCTGCGCGGCCAGCTGACAAGCCGTCTCGCCCCGCAGCTGCGGGAACGGCGGGATGTCCGCCAACTTCTCCTCCTGCTTCCCGTCCTCGCCGTCGTTGATGCGTTGGCACTCCTGTGCGGCACCACCTCCAGCAAGTACGGCGCTCCGCACTCCAGCATCGCAATGTGCACCACGTACACATTTTAAAACAAGAGACTGAGCCCTGCTGTCCATCTACTCCTCCTGATCCTCGTCCATGCTGTCGTTGATGCTCGCCCAGTCCAGCGCAGCACAATCTCCAGCGAGTGTGGCGTTACGCTCTCCAACATCATCCTGTGCACCACGTACACATTCAAATGCAGCAGGCTGAACCCTTCCGTCGTACCAGTCGTGCAGCGGGTCACTGCTGGTGTCCGAATCGTACTGCTCGTCGCCGCCGCCGTCGATGCCGTAGCACTCAAGTGCAGCACCACCTCCAACGTCACCCTCACCCAGACCACCTGCTTCGTCATTTGCTTGCCGTATACATTCAATGGCAGGAGGCCTGACTAATTCACCTCCTGGTTTTCTTCTCCGTCTTCTCCTTCTTCTTAGCCTCATTCTCCGTGTTCTGCGGCCTGGCACACACCCAGGCTGACGGCGGTCCCATCGCCGACTCCGTAGCCCCTGATGCCGAGGCCGCAGAGGAGGAGGAAGAGGATGTTGAGCAAGGGATCGTAGAAAAAAAGGTGGATATTCAGGAGGAGGAGGAGGCGGAGGAGGAGGAGGAAAAAGAGCAGGAGGAGGAGGAAAAGGAGGAGGCGGAGGAGGAGGAGGTGGAGGAGGAGGAGGATGCGGGCAATAGTTGAATCCACATCAAGTGGGTCTTGGATTCTTGGGCTCTCTTCCCCAGAAACCGTAGACGCACTGGATATGGATAAAAATCTGGCCCCAACAGGCTTGATTTTTTCCATAGTGCGCCTCGGCGTTGCGGCACTTCTTCCCAAAAAGTCCACCACGCTCTGGATATGGATAGAAGCACTGCCCGCAGAGGAGGAGGAGGAGGAGGAGGAGGAGGAGGAGGAGGAGGAGGAGAAGAAGGAGGAGGAGAAGGAGGAGGAGGAGGGGAAAAAAAGTGATTACGAAGCGGAGGACGGAGGATGGAGGATAGCAGGAAGAGGAAACCGCGAAACGTCTTCTTCTCCCACGCCCCCCCGCCCCCGCGAAAGCAGGCGCCGCGGCTCCCACGGCCACCACCTCGTCCGGGTTGACGCTCTGATTCGGTTGTTTGCCGCCGGCCGCCTCCTGCGACGGCGCAGGGCGGTGAAGAGGACGGGGATGAAAGGAGTAGGGCAAGGAGAAAGAAAACCTACACATGCTCGCGCCGGGGAATTAACACGCGAAGGGTTTGGCTGTTTTCGGCCTCCTAGGGCCATCGCCACGTCCCTGGAAGGTTTACAAACAGCTCGGGATGCACAGCGCACCGTGGGAAAATGGGTCGGCATATTTGGGGCGAGGTGCCAAGAATAATCAAGACGCCGAATGTCTGGGGAAGGTGGACGCGGGGGAAGAAAGAGGAAGGAAGGATGGGAATACTGACCTGGGAATTGCTTGGCCAACAGTCCACGCAGCCTGGGCAATTACCCCGTGAGTGCTCTGGGAGTCAGCGGCCGTGCCTGCACTGCAGAAACAAGACGGCCGAAGGGTGGAGAAAAAAATGAAAGAAAGAGGGGAAGTGGAGGAGGATAGCGGGGGGATGATGCACATCGGGAGGAGGGGGGACACTGGTGAGAAAGGGGGGAGGGGGGGGGGGGGGGGAGAAATTTGGGTGAGTTGTGGCGTGGCCTCGGAGCATTTGACGTAGCCTCGGAAATCGACGGGGTCGTGGAAATTGCGCAACCCCCCAGAGAAGGAAGTCGCACAGGGGGACGGCAAGAAGGAAGAGAAATGAAAGGGAATAGGCTACGTAGTCGCGCCCGCGCAATCTAACATCCTCCCCCGCCCACCGCCCTTTCTTTTTGATATTTTCCCGCGGCTTGCACGGCGGACTGGGGACACTCAAAAAGACCCCATCGCGCTATATGCAATCAGAAATGTGTACATTGGAGGAAGAGGCGGCAAGGGAGGACGAACAAGACAAATCAATGACGATGAGGAGGGACGCGGGCGACGAAGAACAACGGCCGCAGGAGTTGGAGGAACGGGAGGACCAGGAGGACCTTTGGAAGGCTGAGGAGGGAGACGCAATGTCAGCATGATATTACCAAAAACAAGCCAGGCGCGCGTTTACAAGGATGGAATTCCTGCTCGGGCAACTCGTGGGGGGGGGGCGCCCGCCAGATGGAAACGCACCGCGGCGGTTGCGGTGATTAGCGCCGACGCCCAGCCGACACTTGGAGGGCGACAGGCGCGACGCAAGCGGCGCCGCTTCAACCAGAATCAGTAGCGCTTCCGCTATAGCAGGGCGCTTGAACCACATTGGCTACTGATAGGAGAGAGAGAGAGAGAGAGAGAGAGAGAGAGAGAGAGAGAAAAAAGAGAGAGAGAGAGAGAGAGAGAGAGAGAGACAGAGAGAGAGAGAGAGAGAGAGAGAGAGAGAGAGAGAGAGAGAGAGAGAGAGAGAGAGAGAGAGAGAGAGAGAGAGAGAGAGAGAGAGAGAGAGAGAGAGAGAGAGAGAGAGAGAGAGAGAGACGAGGCGGGCGGAAGACGCGCCTCGCAGCTGAAGGGCGGCGCCGACACGGCGGCAAACAAAAAAAGGAAACAGGGGGGGGGAGCGCCAGAGGCGGTTGTCTTCTTCCACGCCTTCCCCCTTCCCCGCCTCCGCAGCACCGACAGGCGTTGGTCGCACTTCATCTTTGCAAATTTCTCGAGCAGGTTTGTAGCGATCATCAGATCAAGGCGCACCAATGCCCCGAATCTCTAAGATTCTCCATGGGCACGTCAGGGCCCATGGCTTCGCTGACCCATGTCTGTGATCCAGCCACCGCCCTCAGGCAATGTTGTTTCCATTATCGGAATGTCTGTGCGCTCGGTATGTCGAGCAAGTTTATGTCTTCGTTGTTTCCAGAACTTCTCCTATGCATGTCCATTTGGTTGGCGTGAAAGGGCCGCCGGGTCGGGCCATTGCGATCATTCGGCCCCCCGCCGCCATCTCCGCCGGGGTCGCCGTCGCCGCCGGGCCCCCCTGGACGGCCTCTAGGTGGCTTGGACTTACCCGCGTCATCAAAGCGCACCGCAACAATCATTCCTGTGCTGGGGGGCCGTGCTCTGATCATCTCTCTGATCGTCGCCGTGGCCTCCCAGGCCCCCACCTCCTTCACCAGAGACGGCTGGGCCGATGGTGAAAGGAACGTGCCCGGGCAAGTCGAGGTCGGTAGGCTGGTCCGATATCTTCGCATTGACAAGGACACTTCCAGGGTTCGTTCCTCGGGCGCCCCCCCCCTTAGAGGACCTTCGCTCGCTCCCGAGATCCCCTTGGCGGCCGGCCCAGGAATGAAATGCGGTTTTGCGAAAGGAAGCGTTGGCATCGACGGAGCGGTCAACGTCGGCATCTTGCAAAGGTCCGACTATTCTGACGTGAAACCTGGCGCGCCCATAACATCGGCAAGATTGCCCATCTGGCGCTCGGGCTCAATATCCTCATGCGAGGCCGAGTGTCTCGGTGCCTTTCCATCAGGATCATTGCTTGCCCGCTGGGTATCAGGCATGCCTCGGGGGCCCCCCCTCTCCCCGCGGTCATCCTGATGTCTGAATGTTTTCCTCCGAGCGCATTCGTTGCAGCGCTTGGTGCCCATATCCAGATGGCCCTTGCGCGCGTGCTTCAAGCGACCCGCGCATGCTTCGGTCGAAGGCTTTTGCATAGATGCGACAGGTCTGATTCGGGGCGCCTGATCGCGCATGGGCTTGCGAGGTGCCCGGCGCCCTAATAGGGCGAACGGCGATTGGACGAGGAGGCGGCTCAACGTGCGCCGGCTGTGCCAGTGTTGACTCGACCTCTTTGTCCATCCGACGATGCTCAAGGTCTGACCTCAACCACCTGTTTTCCTCGCTCACGGCCCGAGTTGCAAGGGCGTTGTTTCTGGTCCGTTCATTTGCGTGCCCCTTCAGACGGCCCCAGGCAGCTCCCATTCTTTTCTGGTCCTCTTCTCTGGTTGCCTGGGTCTTCTGTTCTTGCTCTCCAAGGGCTCGCAGGACTTCAGATTTCACTCTTTCGGCCGCGAGTCTAGCGGCTTCAAGTTGATTGCGGGGCTCCTGATTTTCTCGCGATACTTGTTCTCGGGCTTCTTTCTCTCCTTCCCTCCTCGCTGCATCGGCCTTCTCTTTGCACTCAGCTTTCTCTCTTTCTGCCTTCTGCTGAGAGTCCGACACTTGTTGTTCAGCTGTGCTCTGGATTCTCCAGATTTCAGTCTCCTCTTGGGCAAGGCGCCAGTGCGTTTCGTTTGTAACGCCTGCTCCGTTGGCCTCAGCGCGCTGCATCGGTTTCTGCGCGTTTTCCAACATGATGGCTTTCTCATGCTCCATCTGTTGTGGAATTGCTTGTCCCAGCCTCGGAAACTGCAAGCCGTCGTTGAGCCGTCGTTTCCTGCGCCTCAGAGATGATCTGTTGTATATGCATGCGCACTCGCAGCCTTCAGCTGTTCCCGACCCTGTCTGTTCCTTTCCGCCCACTCTTGAATCGCGATATGATGGCATCTGTGCTCTTCCGTCGTGACGCACTCCTCACAAAGCCATGCCAAACTACATTTGGGGCAAACATTCGAACATTGAGAACGCACTGGCCTTCGACATGCACCCCCCGGTTTGTGCGCTTTCCCCGGGCACCGATTCTCCGCCCGCGTGGGGCACGTTGGCCCGGCGTTCCACTGGCCCTCCCGCATCGAGAAGCTGCTGGTGGTTCTATTCGATGACATTCGCGGCGAATCAAAAGCACTCACCCCCCTGGAACTGGAACGTCCGGCCCTGGGGGCCTTGCTGGAGCGCCCCTTTTCACTGCTGGGAGCAGGCGTGTTGTTCTCTCGTTCTGCCGCCTCTCTTGATGGTGTCGACGTCAATGCTCCTTGCTAAGTCGTCTCTTTCGTCCTGCATTACGAGCTCATCAAGTTCTGGTACCCTAATTATCTCTGTTTGTCCAGGGCAATGAGAAGTCTGCCCAGGGCAATTAAAAGTCTGGCATGTGAAAGCCCTGCAATAGGGGGGAGATAGTCAAGTCATCGTCCTCACCCTTCGGTTTCTTCGTCAGCGGATGGGGAGTCATGCCTGTAGTTTTTCGCGTATGTCTCGCTGCGCGCATTGCGTCGGGGTGGCTCGACATCGGCTGCGCCAGCGAGCATCCACCTTGGTCTGGGCCCCCATCCGTCTTCGAGGTCAGCGTCCATATCAAGGATGGCTTTCTGACTTGCTTCAATCGTTATACGGTCAGGGGCGAGACCGACACACCGGTCAGGGAGAGGATCGAGATGACGCGATGGACCAGGCGAGGTGTGGAATCGGGCATATTCTTCGTTCCTCTCTATCGAATTGCAGCTATCCCCTTCAGATTGTAAACCGCTCACATCCTCACTTTGTGCATGCAACGTATACTACACCGCGTGCTCTGCGCCTAGGCTTTCGGCGCACGACAATTCGATGGGGATGTGATTCAACAACTTTTCCATCTCGAGATCTATGTCGATCGATGGCCGAAAACGAGGGTGCACCGACACCAACTCTGATGGTCCCTCGGCGGAAGTTTTGGCTGCGCCATACCTTCCGCTCGAGTGTTGTTCTCTGGACACTGTCACTGAATCAACCGATGGATTCCCTTATGTTAAGTCAAACACACTATATGATGCTTCCTTTGTGGGAAGGTTAAAAGGATGTTGTCGCCTCGTTCAGGCGCCTATACTTTCGTTGCGCTCAGAAGGTATTCGGCCTTCTGTTCGTCCGAGCGCTCCTTCTTGCGATCCCATGTGTTGCGAAGCGAACGGCTGTGCTGTCGCTTCGGCTGATAACCAGTCTTTTGCCTGTATATTCATGAGTCCTGCAATATGTTCCGATAATACATCATTGTCAGTGGGCTCCGCTGATGACATGGGTAAGAAAGGGTAATGCCGTCAAACATACACTAGGGTAACACTGAAGGGAGGAGGCCGGCCCGCTGGCCGACGCGCGCGCGCGCCGACGGCTCGCTCCTTTTCCGTTTCCCTAGAGCCAAGGTAGTATAGCTGCGGGGGCAGAAGTAGTCAGTCAGTACAGCAGGCAGACAGCGCGCGCAAGGAGAGAGAGCACGCAGGACGAAATATTGGTGGTGCGGAAGGGTGCATTGACTGAAAGATGCGCTGCCGGTGCGCTCCCGTCAGGCGATAACCAGGGCGCGCTGTCTTCCATACCTCATGAAGCACTATGCCCTCCGACGCCTGGCGGGCAGCACGTTTCCACGCCCCCTGGCGCGACGTGCTCAAGGAGTCGTTGGACTGGAATGGCAGCACGCGCGCCCGATCGACCACCACGGCAGGCGTGCCCACGCTGCGCCAGTCGGCCGGCTCCGCCGACTTATTTATCTCTTTCATGCGTGGGGCGTCACATCCGATATAAACGGCGGCCTCGCGGAACCACCCTGATGGCGCCGACAATCTTGGCTTCATGCATGCATGAGAAGCCGACTTCGTCACCATGAAGCCAAGGTTCGCCGTGCTAGGTATATGCCCGTGGGTTGCATGATAAGTCCGTGCCCCATGAAAAGTTGGTCAGTGTTCGTGTTGAATGCATCCGCGGGGCCATCGACGGTGTCATCAAGGCAATACATCGCAGTCCGATCTAATGGCCACAACCTGAAATTTGCTTGGAGCGCGTCTCGTTAAGGAAGAAACCAAAGCCCTTCTTCTGGTCAGCCACGGCTGTTTTCAGATCCGTCACTTCGACACCGTCACGACACAACAAGCTCTTGGCCCACTGCCGAACCCATATCTTAGGCAAGTGCGGCGCCGCGGCGCCGTGCAATTTTTCATTTACCTAAACCATTGCAGTTGCCCGACAAAATCTCGTTGACGTTGTGGCGGTGCAGTACGAGCTCTGATCGCCAAGCTGTGGTCAAAAACGCTTGACCGAATTACGTGACTTGCGGAGGGCGAAAGGGGGATGAGGGAGGATGGGGACAACAGGAGGGAGAAATGAGGAGGGGGGAGGAGGGCAGAGGCAGGTTTGAAGAGAGGGGGCGAGGAGGGGTGAAGGAGGTTAGAGGAAGAACAGGAGGAGGAACATCAGGAGGAGTAGGGAGCAGCAGGAGCAGCGGGAGGAGCAAGATGAGGATCGGTGGGTGTAAGTAGGGAGGAGAAGTAGAAGGAGCAGGAGCAACATGAGGAACATGACGAACAGGAGGAGGAGGAGGAGGAGGTCCATCGCCAGCTTCTGGATGGCGGGGATGCGGGTAGACCCTCCCACCAGGACGATCTCGTTGATGTCCGAAGAGGAAATCTTGGCGTCTCTCAGGGCGTTCTCCACGGGGGCCTTGCAACGGCCGATCAGAGTGCTTGCGATCTGCTCGAACTTCGCCCGCGAGAGGGTCTCCTCGATGTGCTTGGGGCCGGTCGCGTCTGCTGTGATGAACGGCAGGGAGATCTTGGCCTCCTGCACGGCACAGTCAGTATAGCGTAAACGGCTGGATTCACACGCGGCGCGGCACATGCGAAGCAGGCCGTGCAGTGGATGCGCAGGCGGGGGGCTGGCGTGCCTGGCCGCACAGGGGCCGAGAACTGGAGGAGAGCCATTTGGCGATGTGAGTTGAAGGGGCCCTGGGACACACAAATAAATACACACAAATAAAAGGATTCCCAATATTTTCAAATATGTTCTGGGTTCTTGTCTTCCCCCCACTTCCCATATTTTTCCATATTTTCTTGGGAGTCGACGATTAATTGTGTCTGTGTGTTTCTTTCTCTCCTGAGATGTGAGTATCCAGCTCCCGCGCAGGCCAGCATCGGCAGCGCGCTCAGGGGGGAAGGCAGGGGAGGCGGGCTGTCTCATGCGGGCAGTATCTATCTCCATATCCAGTGCGTCTTGGATTCTGTTGGAAGGGGCGCCAAAAGGCCGAGGCGCACTGGGTACCAGTATGGACAAACATCGAGTCTCCAGGGGCCAGGTGTTTACCCATATCCAGTGCGCCTCGGGTTTCTGGGGAAGGAAGCCCGGAACTCCAAGTTTTGCCCGCCTTCTCAGAAGGCACAGGAGCCACGACCTTCTGGGAAGCTTTCCGAGCCTTCTCCGGAGCCGCAGGCGGTTTCTGCGAATGCGCGGCGGCTCTCGATGTCCCTGCGCCTTCTGAGAAGGCCTGCCCCTCTGGCTCAGCGTCCCTGCGCCGCTGCTCCTCACCACTTTCCAGGTGTGCAAAAGTAGAAGCTGCGGCGTGGGAAGGGAAACGGCGTCAGTATACAATGAATCTACACACAGCTATAAATCAAATGCCAGAACCTAGAGCCACGAACACACAGCAGGGCCGCCGGCAGCAACGACCCGTGCTTCCAGCTTCCCGATAGGACAACGCTCTCTCTTCTTCGGGGCGCCTCTTGCCACCGTGCGTCGGTGCCGACGCCACGAGCTGCGGGGAGCACTGCCGTGCTCCGCCGTGAGACTGCGATGGTCCGGCCAGGAAAGCGAGTCGACTGCGTCCTCTGGGTCTGTGGCCATGGCTGTGCTCGATGGAACTGGTGAGCGTTTTTATGCTACGACTTGGTCACAGGCGATCCCCACAACAAGCCTAGACTCTGAAGCGAAAGGATTTCGATTACACCCGTGGCTTGGAGCACAGGGTTTCTCACCTTTGAGCTCAAGACGCCCAGGGCACCCTAGGACACAACCGTAGGTCTCTCCTAGGGAGCCCTGACCCAGGAACGCTTCTCTGAAGACTCCTTGCTGAAGCAATCCCCCCATCTCCCCCATCGTGGCTGGGAGTGGGAGGGGGGCAGACAACCCTGAACAATAAACAATGCTGATGCCCCTGGGTATCTCTGGGTGGAGGGTGGCGCATCGGTTTACCCCCCTGGCCTCCTGAGGACTTGGAGGTAGGAGTTAGCAAAAGAGAAAACGCCATAAAGAGAAACTTTTGGCACTCCGCACGGACTTCTTGGATCCGCGCTGGACCCCCCTCCCTGGCGCGCTGAGCGCGCCATGGGCGGCGCCGAAGGCGCCGCCAGGGGGCCCCAGCGCAGATACAATGTATGTTTATGGCTGTTCTTCTGCGACAACAACGAGAAGAAATCCCACGCGTGGTGCTCGGTGTCCGGAACTACTCACCACGCCTGGCGCATCTTCAAGATCCCCCCTGCCCCGATCCTGCACGCCGGATAGTTCCACCTTGGCCTTCTCGGCCGCCTCGGTCAGGCGCTGCAGCGCCTGCTTGTCCTTGAGGAGCTCGATGCCCTCCTTCGCCTTGAAGGACTCCGCCAGCCAGTCGACGATGACCTTGTCGAAGTCGTCACCCCCAAGGTGCGTGTCGCCGTTGGTGGACAGCACCTCGCACACGCCATCGCCGACCTCGAGGACGGAGACGTCGAAGGTGCCACCCCCGAGGTCGAATACAATGATGGTCTCGTTGTTTTTCTTCTCGAGGCCGTACGCCAAAGATGCGGCGGTGGGCTCGTTCACGATGCGGAGAACCTCCAGCCCGGCGATCTTCCCGGCGTCCTTCGGGGGCGTCCAAGAGGTGAGCGCCCAAGAGGGGGGGTCGCAAATCGTGGCACGAGGCACGTGCGCTGACAAGGGAGGGCCTGGGCCCATGAGATCTGTGGAGAGTCATACAGTCGTGCCGCTGAAATAAGGAACGCCAAATAAGGAACGAAGCCCCTCTTAGGTCCCAAAACCGCCTTCGCTCACGAGGGCTGGAAGAACAGCCTTGGAAGGACCTGAAGAACGTCCAGCCCCTTCCGGACCCAAACTGTTCCTTATTTCAGCGTCTTGACTGTAGCCCCAGCCTTGGTATCCCTCCGAACAAAAACATCACCCCCCGGACCCTCCCTTGGACGTCTCGATCCTTGGTGGCCTGGCGCTGGGAGTCGTTGAAGTAGGCCGGGACAGTCACGACGGCCTTGCTGACGGTGGCGCTCAGGTACTTGCCTGGAGAAGAAAGCAGAAACACACATTCTCGCCTGGTCCGCGCGGAGTTCTTGGCCTGGAGTTGGACCCCCTCCTGGCGCGCGGAGCGCGCCAGGGGCAGGGCGGAAGGCACCGCCGGGGTTAGGTCGGGCATGTCCCCCTACAGGCGAAAAATTGTCAAAATGGTAGAACAATCGACCCCTATCCTATTTTTTGACTACCCATACGACCACCCTTCGGGAGATAAGGAGGTTGTGTGAGGGGGGAGGGGGGGAACCAACATCTGACACAATCGATCTCACTGTCGATCTCATTCAACGGGACACCACGGGACACTACGGGACACCACGAGACACCACGGGACACCACGGGACACTTGTCGATCTCACTATTGATCTCACTATCGATCTCACTCAACGGGACACCACAGGACACCACGGGCCACCACGGCACACCACGGGACACCGCGGGACACCTCTCGATCTCACTATCGTTCTCACTATCGTTCTCACTATCGATCTCACTATCGATCTCACTCAACGGGACACCATAGGACACCACGGGAGACCTCGGGACACCACATCGATCTCAGTATCGATCTCACTATCGATCTCACTCAACGGGACACCACGAGACACCTGTCGATCTCACTATCGATCTCATTATCGATCTCACTTGTTGGGACACCACGGGACACCTCGGGGCACCACATTGATCTCAATATCGATCTCAGTATCGATGACACTCAACGGGACACCACGGGGCACCTCGGGACACCACGGGACAACTGTCTCTCACTATCGATCTCACTATCCATTTCACTTGATGGGACACCACGGGACACCTCGGGGCACCACATCGATCTCAGTATCGATCTCAATATCGATCCCGCTATCAATATCACTCAACGGAACACCACGGGACACCTCGGGACAACTGTCGATCTCACTATCGATCTCACTATCGATCTCACTTGTGGGGACACCACGGGACACCACAGGACACCTCGGGGCACCACATCGATCTCAATATCGATCTCAATATCGATCTCACTATCGATCTTACTATCGATCTCACTCAACGGGACACCACCGGACACCGCGAGACACCGCGAGCCACCGCCAGACGGACGGACGGACGGACGGGCGGGCGGGCGAGAAAAAATTGTATTGACCCTGAACAACGGCGGACACCACGGGACACCACGGGACACCGCGGGGCACCGCGGGCCACCGCAGGCCACCGCCAGACGGGCGGGAGGGGGAGAATCATTTGTCTTGACGTCGCCCTAGCAACGGCGGGTTCATTCCTCTCGCGCGCCCACGCAGCTTGGCCTCGCCCGCACGCACGACGCGACCGAAACGAAACGATCTCCCGGTTGGGGGTCTCCGTTCCGCTGCGATCTTACCCCCCGACCTCCGACTTCTGAACATTCCCCCTGTAGAGGGACAGGCCCGATTCAACGCCGGGGGCGGGGCGGAAGGCGCCGCCAGGGGGTCCCGCGCCGATCCAAGGAGCCCGCGCGGAGCTCCGAGTAAGCAGACGGATGCAGTCTTCTGCCGTGCGGTGGCCCGCGTCGGCGGCCAGCTTGCGGAGCACCTGGGCGGAGATCTCCTCCGGGGCGAACTGCTTGCCGGCGATCGGGCAGTCGATCTTGAGCTTGGAGCCCTGCGTCTCGACCTTGTAGGACACCTCCTTCAGCTCCTCCTCGATCTCGGATGCCATGCGGCCCACGAAGCGCTTCACCGAATAGAACGTGTTCTCGGGGTTGATCACGGCCTCCGAAGAAGCACAACGGCACAAACAGAAACTTCCAGAGGTCCGTGCGGATTTCTTGGATCGGCGCTGGACCCGCCACGGAGGCGCCGCCAGCGGGGTCCCAGCGCCGATCCGAAATCCGCGCGGAGCTCCAACCATTGATGTGTTCTTTCTGTTGGAGGCGGCCAAGGGGTCTGAGCTGGACGGGGGCCCCGAGGAGATCCGTCAAGACGGGGTAGATTTGTGGAAAAAGAAGCAGATCCTTTCAAAATCCGTCCTCGGACCCCTCCCAAGGCCCATCTGGTGTAATTTGTCATCACGGATCCGTTTGTGACGGTCCTGATTGGACGCCCGAGATAGGTACGGAAAAAATGGGTACAATGCCCAACAACAAATGTTGTCCCAAAACAGCAGCGGCCGCTGTTGGGCGGGCGGCCTTCTGTCTCAAATGGACACAGGCCGCGGCGGCGCGGACAGCGAGTCCTGTTCAAAAAGAAGAGGAACTGCTGTTGGGCATCGTACCCATTCTTTCCGTACCCATTTCGGGCGTCCAGACCTGAAGCTTAAAAACACGGCCCCCGGAGAACGAACACGGCGAAACCTCCCCTCAAATCCAGGACCTCCAACCTCGCCCCCCCCCCCTCCCTGCTGGTCGGCACCGGCCTTGCCGCGCGCAGAGGTGGGCAGGGGGGAGGGGGGCAGGCCTCTCAGCAGCACCCCTGCTTCTGAGAGGCCTCCCCCCTCCCCCCCAGACCCCCCCCCCTGCGCACCGCCAACCGGTGCTGGGCCACCTCAGGCCCCCGGCCCGGCGCCCACGGTTCTGCTTCGAGGCCTGGCGCTTCGCGATCTGCCCCACCTCGGTGGCGAGCCCAGGGGGGGGGGGGAGGGTCGGACCGAGGACAGCAAAACATCCCGCAAAGACATGAGACCCTCTGCCGGCCAGGACTGAAGAGCATTCGAGGGTGCCCTACCCCAAGATGCACGAAAACATCCAACAAACCAGAAGAGCGTTAGGGGCACTCTCCCCGAACCGACGCTCTCATACCTCGGTCCGACCATGATGCAGAGGGGGCGGGCCTCCTCGGAAGGCTTGGAAGGCCCCTGGCCTTCTCACAATTTCCCAGGCCTCCTTCGAGAACAGACGGCCTCTCAGAAGGCCGGAGGGCTTCTGAGAAGCCCCGCCGCCTCCCGAGAAGGGTTGCCTCCTCTCACTTCCCCCCTCGGGTCAGGTCGGGCATGTCCTCCCACAGGCGGATGTTGGAAGACAAAGTTTTCAACTATAGTCAGCAGCTGATCAAAACAGCCTATGAGCACGAGAAACTGTCCGCAGGCTATTTCCTGCCATTCTTGAATACAGTGGAGGCCAGTCCACAAGCCACCTTCCACAAGAAGCCCAACCCTGAGACCCCAGGACGTCCATTGATTTTTGGTTTGGGAACGTCACGCTTTCCATAGAAACCATCGAAGACAAAGAAGCCCAGGGCACCCTGGGGGCAAGCAGGGTGTTTCTGGGCATGGGCCTCCACTGTATTCCCCCTGAAGAAAGACATGCCCGACTTAACCCTCGGGGCGCGTCGCGGGCCACCAGCATCTCGCCGCTCTTCGAATAGGCCACCACGCTGGGCGTGGTGCGGGCGCCCTCCGCGTTGGGGATGATGGTCGGGGCGCCCGCCTCCATGGCGGCGACCGCGGAGTTAGTGGTGCCGAGGTCGATGCCCACTACCTTCTCGCCTGGGGCCACCTCGCGGCGGCGCGCCAGACCCGGGTCTCCGACGACTTTGGGAATCCTGGGACCCCTGCACCAAAAACCCTTGCCGCCTCTTACTCTTGGTAAACCGATTCTTACTTCGGCCAACTTCCGCCAGCGGAAGCGGCCTCGTTGAACTCCCACCGCCTTCCGCCAGCATTCCGCCGCCTTCCGCAAAGGAAGAGATGACAACTCCTTCGATCCTCGAAGGCTTTCTGGAACGTCTCATATGATTGTCCTCGCCATTTAGCCATTTTCTCGTTCATTTCGGCCTCAAAGGCCGCAATCGGGCTCCTTGGCCATCACAAACAAATCGAAGGCGAATAACTACCCTGAGCGAAAATATCGCAACATCGCGAGGGGCACGACCGGAGCCCAGGGCCCCATCTTTCTGAGGCAACTGTCGAGCCAGAACGATCTGTGATGGTCCTGGGGCCCAGACACGGACGAAAACGCCTGTTGTGAGACCATTGCGTCGACCGGATCTGCGGGCAATCGGGATCTCTGGGGCTTCGATGATGTAGAAATCGCTGGGGGGCTCTTGTTGTCCGTTTTGAAGCTCGTTTTTTTTGTTTTCCTCTCCTTTCCACTTGTGGAAGCACTTGATTTTCCGTTTTGGTATTCTCGATCGCGCCGTGTTCGGGTCGGTTCCGATCTGCCCTGCGTCTGTTTTTGTTGTGTTTTGAGCTGCCGTGTTTTCGTTTGTTTCCCCCGTTGCAGCTGCCCGAAAACCGAAGTGTTTGAAGGGGCCCCAGGACACACAAATAAATACACACAAATAAAAAGACCCCCATATTTTCACATATTTTCTGGGTCCTTGTCTTCCCCCCCACTTCCCATATTTTCCTATATTTTCTAGGAATCGCCGATTAATTGTGTCTGTGTGTTTTTTCCCCTCCTGAGCGTAGCGTGTCGCCCTGGCGGCCCCGGCGACACGCTGCTGCCTTGCGAGCAGATGGCGTGCCGCTCCGCCCCGCGGCGCGGGAGGCTCGGGAGAGAAGGTCGGGACGTGGACGCCGCGCGGCCGGGAAGTGCCAAAACCCTGCAGACGGGGCGTAGTAAACGGGGCGGTAGCTAAAGGGGCCTCTTGAAGCGAGAACAGGGTGACGGGGCATTTGCCTCGCACAAGTGCGTGATACATCGGGACAACAAGCAAAAACGTCGATACATCATCAGATCTCTGGGAGGGGGGTGGTTTACCTCGCACTTGTGCACTGCAAATCAATATTTGGAAAAGAAACACTTGAAAACGCACCCTTAACTGCTGGCCCGTTTACTAACGCCCTGTCTGCAGGGGCTTGGAAGTGGATGGCGTGCCGCGCCAGAGCGTGGTTGGCCAGAACTGGCGGAGCGACACGCCATCCAAGAGTTCCCGATCGCAAGCTTCGGGGGTTGCCAATGGCGAAGGCGGCCCTCGTGGAGGGAGAAAGAGACGGGGACCATGACCGAGACGGAGCGCGGAAACGCCGTGCCGATCTCGGTCACCGTCGATCTTGTCTAGCGTCACTTCGTGGATCATCTTCGCGAATCGGCGACGGCCGACATGGATCATGACCAAGATCAGCATCGATAAGATCCCGCGACATCTTCAGGCGGCGCGCCAAGGGGGAAGTGAGAAGGGGCGGGCCTTCTCAGAAGGCTCGGAAGTCCCTCAGCCTCTCTGAGAAGTTCTCGAAGCCTTCCCCGAAGACGCAGAAAACTTCTCAGAAGGCCAGGGGGTTGCTGAGAAGCCCCGCCGCCTTCTGAGAGGGCATCCTCCTTCTCACTTCCCTGCCTCTCTCGCCGCCGAATCTTGGTCATGGTTGTGAAAAACTACGCTGAGATCCGATGTATTGTATTTGTGCAACATGGGGTCGGAGATCTCGACCTGTTCCCCTGGACCCGCTCTTCATCCGGAATCGTTTTTTGACAGTCCCGGCGCCCGGCGAGGGCTCCCTGAGGCTCCCTGAGGTCTGGCGATGACGATGACGATGACGATGCTCTTTGAATGCTGAGGCTCCCTGAGGCTCTCCGAGGTCTGGTTTGTTTCTTCCATCGGCCTCGGGCCCCAACTCGGCGCGGGGCGGCCTATCCCTGACCCCCTCCCCCCGAGGCTAAGCCTGAGGCCTGCCACAGGGCCGGAGGCCCTCGCCGAAGGCTGCGGCCCTCGTCCCACCCCTCCTCGCCCGAAAGCTCCGCGCAATGAGGAAGGACTGGACGACGACGACGAAGACGACGACAGCGACGACTATGACGACGACGACCATGACGACGACGACCACGACGACGAAGGTGACGACGAAGACGACAACGACGGCGACCACGACGACGACGACGACCACGACGACCACGACGAAGACGACGACGACGACGAAGACGAGGACGACGACAGACGACAGCGACGACGACGGCGACGACGAATACAACGACGACGACGACGACGCCAACGACGACAAAGACGACAACCACGACCACTACGACGAAGACGACGACGACGACGAAGACTGCGACGACGACGACGGCGACGACGACGAAGACGACGACGATGACAACGACGAAGACGACGCTGATAACAACGACGACGAAAACGACGACAACGACGACGAAGACGACGACGACAACCACGACGACGAAGACGACGACGAACACGACAACGACGACGACGACGACGACAACGATGACGAAGACGACGAAGACGACGATAAGGACGACGACCACAACGAAGACGAAGATGACCACGACGACGACGACCACGACGACGGCGACGACGACCACGACGGTAACGATGACCACGACGACAACGACGACGGCGACGACGAAGACGGCGAAAACGACGAGGAAGACCACTACGACAACGATGACGAAGACGACGACGAAGACCATGACAATGACGACGACCACCACGACGACAAAGCCGACGACTACCAGGACGACGACGACGACGACCACAACGACGACGACGCCCACGACGACGAAGACGACGACCACGACGAAGAAGACGACCACCACGACGACGACCACCACGACCAAAACAACGACGACGAAGACGACGACGACCACGACGACAAAGACGACGACGACGAAGACGACGACCACGACAACGACGACGACGAAGACGACGACGACGAGTACGACGGCGACGATGACGAATACGACAACGACGACGGCGAGGACGAAGACGAGGACGAAGACGACCACGGCGAAGACGGCGAAGATGGCGACGACGAGAAGACGACGACGACGAAGACGGCGACGAAGACGACAACGAAAACGACGACGACGAAGACGATGACGACGACGGCGACGACGAGGACGACGACCACGACGACGACGACGTCGACGACGACAACCACGACGACGACAGCGCCGACGGCGAAGACGAAGACGAAGACGACGACTACGACGACGAAGACTACGACAAAGACTACGGCGACGATGACGGCGACAACGACGACGATGAAGACGACGACGGCGTGAATGATGACAACGTTGACCACGACGACAACGAGTTCGACGACGACCACGACGAGGACGACGACCACGATACCACAATGACGACGACAAACACGACGAAGACAACGCTGACCGCGACGGCGAAGACAACGACGACCACGACGACGAAAACGACGACGACGAAAACGACAACGACGACGAAGACGACAACGACCTTGACGTCAAAGACGACGACGATGCCGAAGACGACGACGACGATACCACGACGAACTAACCGTGACCTCGACGACCAAGACAACGACGACGAAGCCAAAGACGACGACGACGACCACGACGACGACGAGACTACGACAATGACGACGACAATGACGATCACGACGAACAGGACGACGACGACGATAGCGACGACGTCGACGACGACGCCGACGACGATGAAGACGACGACGAAGACGACGACGACGACGGCGACGGCGACGGCGACATCCAGAGCTTCCTACCCCGTTCTGGAGGGCCCTGGGGCCCGACGACGGTCCCGGGAGGCCGAAATCATGGAAACCGCCCCGACTCAAATCCGCTCAAACTTCGTCTCCTGGGGTCCATCGCCGCCGTGCATCGTTTCCAGCCGCGCCCAGCCGCAGGGTCAGTTAGCATCGGATCGGAAACTCTGATCGAATCGGAGCGCAAGACGGCTCGGGCCGCATCGGCACGGAGTCGGAACCAAAGCGCATCGGCAGCGCTGGGATGCACAACAACACCATGAAGTCGTCGGGCCGCATCGGCTATACGGAACATCGGAATCGAATCGGATCGGACCGGCTGGAATCGATATCGAATCGGCTCGAGATGTCCCTGCTCAGCCGTGGCAACGAGACGCCCCCAGGAGCGCCCCCAGGAGGCTCGAAAACGCAGAACTCTCGAAGTCATCCCTCTCTCACGCTCCTCCCCTGAAGGTCTTCGGAAGTCCCCAGAAGTCTCGGGATGCCTCCTGAAGCCTCCCTGGAGGCCTCCTGAAGATCCCCCCAAATCTGCAGCACAAACGCGCCGAACCCGCAATTCTCGATCCTTGCGGCGACGACGATGGACGACGATGACGTGGCATTTTCCGAGTCGTGCGCTCACGGACCTCTTGATCCCTCCGCTGGCAGCGTGTTTTTCATCCCGGGCCCTCTGCTGACGATCTCCTGGGGCCTGAAAGCGGCACCCACAGGGCATCCATGCAGAAATACTGGACGCCTCGATCTCTCTGGGCTGCTGGACGTCTGGGGACGACGACGGCGGCCGACATGGAAGTCTCCCAACTGGGGTCGGATGATCGCGCCGCATCGCAAATGCGTCGCCAATGCATCGGCGATGCGTCGGCGATGCATTGGCGCCGTCGGCGTCGAGAAAATTCGGCGGCGGACAAACCTCCCTTTAGTAAACCTCCCTTTAATGAAAACGGCCTGGGACCGAAACCGACGGACATGGACCCTCAAAAATGACGACCGCGACACCCCCTC